TGACTCATGCTCCTCACACAGCTGAGCTTCATCAGAAACACGACTGGAGGGGCCAGGCTCTTCATCAAGCCGTGAGTCCTGTAATTCATCAGAGCCTCCCTCTGACCCTGACGGCCCCTCAAAGGCCTCCTCCACCTCCTCCTCAGATTCCTCAGACTCAGCTGTTGGGAACACAGGCTGGCACGGAATCACAACACCATGCTGAGGGGAAAGGGAGAGGTTTCCAAGCTGAGCCATGCTGGCTCAGGAATTCTGGGAGTTGAAGTCCACGAGTCATAAAAGAGCCAAGGTTGCCTACCCCTGGCCTGGGGGATTGAGGGTCCCTGTTCTACAAGATCTGGTTTAGTACGAGCTCCTTCCTTCACCAAATATCCATCTGCATTCTACTCTGTAATTTTCCACTCCTTTTTTCTTCAGGTGGATGCTTCAGCTGAGGAGAGTCTGGACATATTAAACCAGACCTCGGCCATCAGTATGGGCGACCTGACTTGTGACAGTCGGGCCAACAGTGATTATGAGGAAACGGACGCAGAAGGAGAACCTTATACGGACCAGGAACTGGACGAGCCCTATCAAGAGGCAGCTCTGAGCCGTTCTTCAGAGCCAGCAGAACAAAGCCTGGATCGGGAGTTGAATGAGCGTGTGGCAGCTGCTCTGGCCTACCCCATTGACGTGGTAAGGAGAGTCAGCCGCCTGGCTTTGGAAGGGACCCTAAAGGTGATGTAGTCCAGCATGCTAGTTAGCCCTCTTTATTTATTTTCCTGCCTTCGAGGCACTGATCTGGCAGCTACCCAGACAAATCCCTGCTGTTTTGTTGGCAACAATTTCAGAAATGGTTTGTGGCTTTACTAGTTTTGATTTTATTCTAATTTCTTTGCTTGATTGTTGTCACTCAAAATTGGATGGCACACGTGTAATAATTATTTTCTTCTTCTTTTTCTTCTTTTTCTTTTTCTTCTTCTTCTTCTTCTTCTTCTTCTTCTTCTTCTTCTTCTTCTTCTTCTTCTTCTTCTTCTTCTTCTTCTTCTTCTTCTTCTTCTTCTTCTTCTTCTTTCTTCCTCCTCCTCCTCTTCTCTTCATCTTCTCTTCCTCCTTCCTTCCCTTTCCTTCCTTCCTTCCTTCCTTCCTTCCTTCTTTCCTTCCTTCCTTCCTTCCTTCCTTCCTTCCCTTTCTTTCTTTCTTTCTTTCTTTCTTTCTTTCTTTCTTTCTTTCTTTCTTTCTTTCTTTCTTTCTTTCTTTCTTTCTTTCTTTCTCTTTCTTTCTCCTCCTCCTCCTCCTCCTCTTCCTCCTCCCTCCTCCTCCCCCTAATGGAACACTTTTTAATACTTGAGCCAACATTCTGGATATCAATTATATCTATATATTTTTCTCTTTCTTATAGCACGAGAGTGATCACCAGCCCCAAGGACAGTGGCACAGCAATTATGACATCAGGTATAAATTTTTCATTTGATGCTTCGAGATGGGTTGGGAAGAATTTTCTTAACCCTGCAATTGGAGTCAAAATGCAATCAGCCTATCCATAGACGTGATAAAATTTGAATTATATCCAGAAAGAACATAACCAGTGCAACTCCTGCAGGAGATATATTGTCTGGAAAATCTAGATGTCCCTATCATTTCATGAGGCAATTGTAGTGACTTTTGATCCAGTAAATGAGAATGAGTTACCAAGATTGCTGATCTCACTGGATTGGTGGCGAACTGGGTTAAACATATTGTGTGAACCCATCCAGTGGGTGTTCAAAAAAGTAATATGCATTCTCTAAGAGACAAATTCCAGTTAAATATCTCAAGGCCTATTAGGAGGGCAGAAAGCAGAATAACAGAGTTGGAAGGGACCTTGGAGGTCTTCTAGTCCAACCCCCTGCTCAAGCAGGAAACCCTATACCATTTCAAACAAATGGTTGTCCAGTCTCTTCTTAAAAGCCTCCAGCGATGGAGCACCCACAAATTCTGGAGGCAATTTCATATGGCAACTGGAGGACCAGTTGCCAAAAATCCAATTGCCTTTTGAAAAAGCACCTTTGGGTCAATCATGACTTGGATCACCGAGAATCTCTATAGATGTAATGGAGGCAAGTCATTCCATTGATTATTCTAAATGTCAAGAAATTTCTCCTTAATTTTAAGGTGCTTCTCTCCTTGGTTAATTTCCATCCGTTGCTTCTCGTCTTGCCTTCTGCTTCTTTGGAAAATAGTTTGACCACCCTCATCTTTGTGGCAGCCCCTTAGATATTGGAAGACTGCTGTCACGTCTCCCCTCGTCCTTCTCTTCATTAAACTAGACATCCCCAATTCCAGCAACCGTACTTCATGTTTTAGCCTCCAGCCCCCTGATCATCTTTGTTGCTCTTCTCTGCACTCTTTCCATACTGTAGTCTCAACCTCTTTTTTATATTGTGGTGACCAAAACTGGATGCAGTATTCCAAGTGTGGTCGTACTAAGGCTTTGTAAAGTGGCACTATTACTTCATGAGATCTTAATTCTATCCCTCTATTAATGCAGCCTATTTAATATGCATATTTAAATCTATGCAGTGCATTGATTTACAACTTTGCCATCTCTTTGTCAGGGAATACGAACATGAGGCGCTACGGAAGAAGTTCACCCATGCGCAGTCTTACGACTCTGAGTCAGACCAGGACTATGGTTATGACTGGGGACCTGCCACAGATCTGTGACCACATCAGCAGCCACGTGGCCTCCTGCAACTTTCTTGGGTGGCCGTGCAAAGCTGTCCTTGTCATTCCAATTTTGGTGAAACTCTTCAAAGACCTTTGCGCTCCTATAAGAGGCACTAAAAACATACGAGGTATGGCAAGATTTTGAGCCCCTGGAAGTCCTCGTGACCAGCTTTGCCTCGTATGCTTGTTCCGGAAATGTTGCTTTTCTCTTTCACCCTGTTGCCTTAAGTTGTGGACACCCCAGAGCAGCCAAAGTGGAGCAAGCCACTTTGGATGGAAGTTTGATCCTCAGTTAATCCTCTCCACCATCCTTTCTTTGGGCAGTTTCATCTCAAAGTGGATATCCGGTGCATTCAAGCTACTTCTGCCCTTTGATCAAGGTCAAAGGATTTCCCCCGGCCTTCTGAACAAACTCATAATTCGGCTCGGAAGGGATTTGCAACCATTTTTATTTCATTCTGGATCCATTTCACCGGAATAAGGCTCTTCAAGCTGCATATACATTGATGTTTCTCAAGCTCAACCACTTGCAGATGTCTGGACTTCAATTCCCAGAATTCCCCAGCCAGCTTTCAAATCCAGCCCGCTTTGAGTTGAAGTACAGAGATCTTCAAGTTGCCAAGACGGAGAAATACTGATACACAGCATCGTTAGGCCACTTTTATACTTCAAGTGAGGCTAAGAACTTCCACCTCGTGTTCTCACTTCATGCTCAACGCTTTTAAGAAACCGCCCTACATCCATTCACAAAGCTGAGGACTGTCTCAAGAATTTTAAAGCTAGACCTCACGTGTTGCCTTTCCCGACCGGAGGTCTATTTTTGCTTATAAACCACACTCCGTGTTTTATCTTTTTAAATCTTTCCCCCTGCTAATATGATTAAGGTCAACAGCCCTTTCCTCACCCTTTACTACAGGCCTAACGTGTCGCTGTATAATCTCGCACAACCGCAAATTAAGGCCGAAATTTCACAAGATTGCCAATTTCTACTACTATATAACTCCAAAATCTCATCCAGTCCTGCCTGAAATCATTCACAATTTGGCTTTTTTTTTTTTTAAAAAAAAAGTTCAATTGGTAGGCTACACATTTATGGTATAGACCAGGGGTAGTCAACCTTGGCTCTTTTATGACTCGTGGACTTCAACTCCCAGAATTCCTGAGCCAGCATGGCTCAGCTTGGAAACTTCTCCCTGTCCCCTCAGTATGGCTGGCTCAGGAATTCTGGGAGTTGAAGTCCACGAGTCATAAAAGAGCCAAGGTTGACTACCCCTGGTATAGACAGACCTCGAGTTATTACTGTAATGGGGTCTGAGCATTACGGTCAGAAGTCGGCATAAACCTTATTAGGGCCGCTATTGTTCTGGGTTCCCTAGAATTTTATAACTCCCTTTTATAACTTGCAATGTGGTGGTCAGAGGGGGATTTAATTCTGCCTTTTTAATCAAAAATGTGGAAGAGTATTAAGCACGCTTAATTGCTTTTTTATCTGTATAACGTCCATTTGGGATTTCTCTCCCATGTTGTATTTTTGTGTGCCCGCTGACAAGGAGCAGCCTAGGATGAGGGAATCTGACGTATTGCCTTAATGTACATGACAACTTTCTCCGTATGTGATGAGTGAAGATGGAGGAGCCGTGGCTTGCCCCTCCATCGTTTGTGCCTTTTGTATTAAAAGCATTCCTTTTCAGCTAAGTCGCACGGATCTTTTTTTCGGTTAGTAATGGCGAAAAGAAGACCAAATGTGGGATGCTGACCGACTCGCTGGTTTGGAAGGGGAAAAAAAGCAAGGTATTTTGTGGTCTCCTTGTTAATTTAAGCAATATCCTGGCAATGAACAATACTTGGTTTTTGCAAATGCTCAGATCAGTTCAGGCAGTCTTGAGGGAGCGTTTCTCCACTTTGGCAACTTGAAGATGTGTGGACTTCAACTCCCAGAATTCCCCAGCCGAATTCTGGGAGTTGAAGTCCACACATCTTCAAGTTGCCAAAGTGGAGAAACACTGGTCAAGGAGACAGAAAAGGCATTGATATCACCCTGAAGGATAAATAATCTCAGTACAATTATAACCTCAAAATCATTAACCCAATGGAAGTATTATCTCTAGTAATATCCAAGAGTCGTTATTTCACTTTAATAACAAAAAAAGGAGAAAGCACGGCTTAACAGTGATAGCAAAACCAGCTGTCAACATGTCCAGAACTGCTAATTTGGGTTTTATATACAGATGAGTCTTTGACTTACAACAGTTCATTTAGTGACCGTTCAAAATTATGTCACTGAAAAAAAAGAGACATAACCGTTTTTCACACAACCGTTTTTCACACAACCGTTGCAGCATCCTCTTGGTCACGTGAGCAAAATTCAGATGCTTTGCAACCGAGTCGTATTTACGACAGTTTGCAGCATTCCAGAGTCACGTGATCCCCTTTTGCGACTGTCTGACAAGCAAAGTCAATGGGGGACGCAGGATTCACTTAACAACCATGTTACTAACAACAGCGGTGATTCACTTAACACAGGGGTCTTCAAACTTGGCCCTTTTATGACTTGTGGACTTCAACTCCCAGAATTCCTCAGCCAGCAAAGCTGGGAGTTGAAGTCCACAAGTCATAAAAGGGCCAAGTTTGAAGACCCCTGACTTAACATCTATTTATTTATTTTATTTATTTTATTTTATTTTATTAAATTTATATCCCGCCCTTCTCCTTGCGGACTCAGGGCGGCTAACAATCGAATAAAAATACACAGATAACATTACAAGATTAAAATTAATTAAAAAGGAAATATTTAACTGTGATCTAATTAAAATATAATTAAAACCCCCTCTAAAAATTTCCCCTAGGCCAGTCCTGCAAGCTGGAATAACNGGAGCTCCCACAGAGAAGGCCCTCCCCCTTGGGGTCGCCAGCCGGCACTGTCTGGCCGACGGCACCCTGAGGAGACCCACTCTGTGGGAGCGTACAGGTCGATGGGGGGTAATCTGCGGCAGGAGGCGGTCTCGAAGGTATCCGGGTCCGATGCCATGGAGCGCTTTAAAGATGATGGTCAACACCTTGAAGCGCACCCAAAGGCCACAGGCAGCCAATGCAGCTCGCGCAGCAGCGGTGTTATATGGGAGCGACGAGTCCCTCCCAACACCGCCCGCGCGGCCGCATTTTGGACGAGCTGGAGCCTCCGGGTGCTCCTCAAGGGGAGCCCCATGTAGAGAGCATTACAGTAGTCCAGGCGGGAGGTGACAAGGGCATGAGTGACCGTGCGTAGGGCGTCCCGGTCCAGAAAAGGTCGCAACTGGTGAATCAGACGAACCTGATAAAACGCCCCCCTGGTCACGGCCGCCAACTGGTCATCCATGTCAGCCATGAATCCAGGAGGACACCCAAGTTGCGTACCCAATCCGAGGGAGCCAGTGTTTCACCCCCTGTAGTCAGCGATGGAATCAGCTGACTATGCCGAGGCGCCGGTAACCACAGCCACTCGGTCTTGGATGGGTTGAGCCTGAGTCTGTTCCTCCTATAAGCAAGAAACATTGTAAAATGGGCCAAAACTCACTTAACAAATGTTTTGCTTTAGCAACATAAATTTTGGGCTCACGTGTGCTCGTAAGTCGAGGACTACCCGTATTAAAAAGTTTGCTCCCATCAGGATTGCAGAAGACTACAGAAAGCCACCCTGCTTTGAAATAATGTCAGGAAGTGATCATTGCTGGCAAGACGCCCTTTGTCAGGGTTGACATTTTAGCTCAGACGAATTAAATTTTAGGGCAGTGTTTCTCAACCTTGACAACTTTAAGATGGGTGGACTTCAACTCCCAGAATTCCCCAGCCAGCATTTGCTGGCTGGGGAATTCTGGGAGTTGAAGTCCACCCATCTTAAAATTGTCAAGGTTGAGAAACACTGTTTTAGGGGATGTGAGGCTTGTGCTCTCAAGATCGGGAGCTCTGCAGAAGTGGTAATATAGAATTAGGCAATGCAGGGGTCTTCAATCTTGGAAACTTTTAAGACTTGTAGACTTTGTGGATGGCTGAGGAATTCTGGGAGTTGAAGTCCACAAATCTTAGATGGTTCGAGTCCCCTTCTCTACAGTACCCAGGGGTGCAGGCAATTATACAGATCGCATTATTTATTTTCAGGTAGTCCTCAACTTACGACCATAACTAAGTGCAAAATTTTCACTGCTCAGCAAGACAGTTCTTAAGAGAGTTTCGCCCCATTTTGAATCTTTCTTGCCGTGGTTCTTAAGTGAATCACTGCAGTTGTTAAGCTAGTAACCTGGTTGTTAAGTGAATCTACCTTCCCCATTGACTTTGCTTGTCAGAAAGTTGCAAAAAGTGATCACATGACACACACACCCCTGGAGACGGCAGCCATCGTTAACTATGAGACAGTTGTTAAGAATCCAACAGAATGTAATTAAGATATGTATAAGCTAAACATTTATTGATAAATGTAATAATGATGTTTTTATTGAGCTGATATAATTAGAAATGTACTAGCTTGAATACAAGATAGTAAATGTTAAGGGAAAAAGAGAAGAAATATCTGATGTTGTAACCTGAGATTTGCACTAAAGATTTTGTTATTGAACTATCAAGTAACCCAGTCACCACGTTGCTTTTTAAATATTCAGATGTAAAATTGGAAAATTAATAAAATATTTTTTTAAAAAAAATAATCCAAATTTTGATCACGTGACCCTGGGGAATGCTGCAATGGTTGTGAGTGTGAAAGACGGTCATAAATCAGTTTTTTCAGTTCCATTGTAAGTTTAGTCACTAAACAAATGGCTATAAGTAGGGGACTACCTGTATTAGATTTTATTCTGCTTTTATTACTTTTATAAGTACCTTAAGGCAATGAATAGACATTACCCAAGAGTCCCTAATCAAGCATATTGGACAAATCTAGCTTTTCTCCTTCTACAAACTGATTCCCCCCCCCCCCCCACTATTATAAGAACCAGTAAGTTCCCTTGTTTTTTAAAGACACAGCCTTAAGAAGTGAACCTCTGGACAGAAGCTTGCAAAAAAAGTGAGTGAGGTGTGTTGCAAAACTCAGTGCCAATCAGCATTTCAAAACAGTTGTCGTGTTGCTTCAGATAGTCTTCTCACAGTTTGCACGCACGCAAAACCTACACAAACTGCTTCAGTGACTCAAGAGGTTTTGAACCAGGGAAACAATTCTTCCAATGTATTATCAGAAATTTGAAACCACATCAGAGGTAGAGCGCAGGGCGCAAGTAAGAGAAGCTAATTTTGTCTCAGTTCACTGCAGTGCCATGTGTGAATTCAGCCACTGTGGTTTTTAACCATGGTTTATTGCTTAACACAAGAGGTCAGACCCCCCCAAGATGCAGGCCCAGGGGAAAAAGAAAACCAGACTTCTACAAAATCACCCAAATCTCACAAGAAAGTTTGGACAACAATGCAAACACAACGTTGTGGATTTTATTCTTCTTTTTTGGGGAACTGGGGTTCAGTACATGTTGACCCAGGCTTAGCACATAGGGTAAAGCAAACCAGAACTTTTAAGACTTTCTTGTCATTTCTGAAAGTTTTAGAGCAGGGGTCTTCAAACTTGGCCCTTTTACGGCTTGAGGACTTCAACTCCCAGAATTCCTCAGCCAGGCACGCTGGCTGAAGAATTCTGGGAGTTGAAGTCCACAAGTCGTAAAAGGGCCAAGTTTGAAGATTCCTGCTTTAGAGAGAAGCTTGTAATTCTGCTGTTATTTTAACATTTACAAAACAAGTTCAGACTTCAGCTGTTAAGGCTGCTTAATGTAGATTGTCTTGCCAAAAGGTGTCAACTCTTAACAACTCTTCCCATTCTCAAGTCAGAGCAAGAAGATGCTTTAAAAAAGCAAAGAATAGCCATTTCTCTAATCTTTGGTGTGCAGAGAATAGAGTGATTAAAAAAAAAAGAGAGAGAGAGAGCACTTTCTCTCCCTCTCTGATCTGCTTTGGGAAATTTAGTACTTTGGTCATCTTGGAAGTTTACATTAGTAGTTTAAGCAACAAAATTCATACAGTAACTCCCAAGCAACTTATAGAATTGTCAGCAGTGTATTGAAGTCCAGACATCAGAAGAGTTTGCCCCATTTTCTAAAGGTGAGACTGGTATCACTGCAGAAATGAATTTGGGGGGTTGGATCCCCCACAGCCAGGGAGAGCAGGGTGGATTGTCTCCTGCACCCAAAATCTTGTAGAATCTTGTAAATTGGCCAGGCAATCCTGACAACAATGCAGCATCCTGATTCTGGACTGAACCACCTCAAAGAGTATTTACCAAATGCTACATTTTCATATTTCCCTTACTTTGTTTTAAGAAAAAGGCTCTGTCACAGAGAAGACCTTGAGAAATGTGAAATTTAAAAATAATAATAATAATAATAAGGAATTCTTCCCACCCTGTACCATTCTCCCCTGGAAGTGATTAAGAGTCTAGTGTCCATCCTTTTTAGTTCAGGAACAGCACAGCACAGTAGTGTAAGGTTCAATCTCCAATATCTCCTGCTTTCTAGTCGTACAAGCCAACCTCAAGCAACAGGCACAACTTCCAAGTTCACACCCCAGAAAAATTTCCCCAGCAAAGGAAACCAACAACAAACGTGGCTGGGTGGTTCGTGCACCAGAAACAGACATGAAGCTCTTGTGAATCAGGGGCACCGAGCCCAGACTTCAGATTTGGGAGGTGCAGCAAGCTTCGGAAGCAGCCACGGGAAGCCGGTGGCCACGGCAAAGCCCGTCAGAGGAAGATCGGTTGCTCCTGGCCAGTTAAAAGACGATAGGTGGAGGCTGGCATGGTTTTGATATGGACCTGCAAGGAAGAAGAAGGGCAACCAAGTCAGCTCTAAACGACTCTGCTGAGACTGCTTTATTGTTTCAGACTCAACCTGCCTTTGCCATTTCAGATGGTTGATACAGTACAGGTGGTCCTCAACTTATGACCACAACTGAGCCCAACATTTCTGTGGCTAAGCAACACAGTTGGTGAGCTTTGCCCCATTTCACGACCTTTCTTGTTAAGGAATTTAAGGATTTAACTGTAAATCCCTGCAGTTGTTAAGATAGAAGGTTTCAAAAGGTGATCATATAAACCACGGGACAGGACAACCACCGTAAATATGAACCAGTTGCCAAGCACCCGGATTTTGATCTCGTGAGTATGAGGTTGCTGCAATGATCATAAGTGCGAAAAATGGTCATAAGTCCTTTTTCCAGTGCTGTTGAAAATTCAGTCACTAAACCGGTGGTCTTCAAACTTGGCCCTTTTCTGACTTGTGGACTTCAACTCCCAGAATTCCTCAGCCAGCATGCCTGGCTGAGGAATTCTGGGAGTTGAAGTCCACAAGCAGGGGTCTTCAAACTTGGCCCTTTTATGACTTGTGGACTTCAACTCCCATGCTGGCTGAGGAATTCTGGGAGTTGAAGTCCACAAGTCAGAAAAGGGCCAGGTTTGAAGACCCCTGCACTACACATATGGCTGTAAATCAAGGATTGCCTGTACTTGCGTTTGCAATCAACCCCGGTTCCAAAAGCCTTTTCACAAATTTGCTAGCCGGGTGCATCTGATTTTTTTGGTTTGTTCGAACTGTTCTTAATTCTCACCCAACCATCAAGAACCCCGCCCTGAAATCCTTTGGAAGAAAGAAGACAGAGGAAGCCCTTTCGGTGTGGCTTTTTCGCAATAGGGCTTTTTCACAACTAGAGAATCACGCCGTGCACGTACCTCGCTGACTGCTTGGCTAAGGATATGGATGATCTTCTCGTGCGGCATAGCCACCACGCTCTGCCCATTGATCTCGATGATGCGATGTCCCACGCGGACGCCACCACGTTCTGCGATCCCACCACGCATGAGGCTGCAGATCTGGGCACAGGGAAAAACGCCACTGGTATGGCTGGCCTTGCCCACCCGTGTCTCAAAGTTTTGCTCAGGCACACCCATCCCCGATTTCCAAAAACCTCCTAGGCCAGGGGTAGGCAACCTTGGCTCTTTTATGATTCGTGGACTTCAACTCCCAGAATTCCTGAGCCAGCATGGCTCAGCTTGGAAACCTCTCCCTTTCCCCTCAGCATGGCTGGCTCAGGAATTCTGGGAGTTGAAGTCCACGAGTCATAAGAGAGCCCAGGTTGCCTACCCCTGGCCTAGTCCATCCGATATAGAGCCACTTGTACTCTGGATTCCCTCTCAACAGGCTTACTTGTCTCATCTACCTAGATTACTCACAATGCCGTTTTCCACCGAGAATCCCAGAGGATATTTTGTGCCGGGCCTTCGAACGATTGCTGTAGTGACAGGAGGGCAATGAACGATGTTGAGGGTTACTTCAGTCTGGTTTTTCAAATCCTGGGAAGAAAACAAAACCCATCAGGTTGACCCGAAATTAAGGTCAACATCCTCCACCAACAGCAAGTAAGTTTATTGCTGGCTGGGAGTGCAGAGAAGATCAACAAAGATGATTAGGGGACTGGAGGCTAAAACATGTAAGGAAGGGTTGCTGGAATTAGGAATGTCTAGTTCAATGAAGAGAAGGACGAGGGGGGACAGGATAGCAGTGTTCCAATATCTCAGGGGCTGCCACAAAGAGGAGGGTGTCAAGCTGTTTTCCAAAGTGCCTGAAGGCAGGACAAGAAGCAACGGGTGGAAACTGAGCAAGGAGAGAAGCAACCTAGAACTAAGGAGAAACTTCCTGACAGTTAGAACAATTAACCAGTGGAACAACCTGCCTTCAGAAGCTGTGAATGCTCCAACACTGGAAGTTTTTAAGGTTGTCTGAAATGGTATAGAGTTCCTGCCTGAGCAGGGGGTTGGACTCGATGACCTCCAAGGTCCCTTCCAACTTTATTATTATTATTATTATTACTATTACTATTACTATTACTATTACTATTACTACTACTACTACTACTACTTATTATTATTATTATTATTATTATTAACTTGCCTCCAGAAGCTGTGGATGCTCCAACACTGGAAGTTTTTAAGAAGAGACTGGACAGCCATTTGTCTGAAATGGTATAGAGTTTCCTGCCTGAGCAGGGGGTTGGACTAGATGACCTCCAAGGTCCCTTCCAACTTTATTATTATTATTATTATTATTACTATTACTATTACTATTACTACTACTATTACTACTACTACTACTACTACTACTACTACTACTACTACTATTATTATTATTATTATTATTATTATTATTATTATTATTATTATTATTATTATCTTGCCTCCAGAAGCTGTGAATGCTCCAACACTGGAAGTTTTTAAGAAGAGACTGGACAGCCATTTGTCTGAAATGGTATAGAGTTTCCTGCCTGAGCAGGGGGTTGGATGACCTCCAAGATCCCTTCCAACTTTATTATTATTATAAGTGGATGCTATTGGGAGCTGATGACACCTCCCTAACAGGTCTGAACGTGAAGGGGGCAGGGCCAGAAATGGGGTGGTGTGATGGAACGTATTCCAGATTCCCAGGGCTGCATTCCAGAGGAGCCAGAGATAGCCAACTTTAGCTAGTTGGTGTGGGAGAAAGAGAGGGAAGATGGCTCCTCCCTAATAGTTCTCAAGTACAGGTGTTCCTCGACTTATAATCATTTGGGGTCATGTGACCTCCTTTTGCAACCTTCTGGCAAGCAAGGTCAATGGGGAAGCCAGATTCACTTAACAACTGTGTTACTAATTTAACAACTGCAGCGATTCACTTAACAACGAAAATGCTGGGCTCAATTGTGGTCGTAAGCTGAGGACTACCTCTATATGTTTAATGGTGCAAGGCGTCTGCTTTAGTTTGGCAAGATGGAAGACGTTGACTAGCAATACATGAATGGACGTAGTTACAGTGGGGATGGGGCCCCTATTGGGAGACCTAAAGGCCCAGGTGTGGAGGGATCCTCCTGGAGAAGGAGAGTGCATTTCATGACATTTTTGCCGAAAACCGACATTTATACTTCTGATTTTTGGCAAAACAAGCCCATAATAAACAATTGGTTTGTTTAATCACTGTGGCATTTGCATAACAACTGCCACGAAAGTCATAAAAATCGGGTCGCTTTAGAATCTCATGACTTATGGAGCCTGGTCAGTCATAAGTCAAGGACTACCTTTATCCATTTTTAATACCTTTTTTGTATGTATAAAGGCATTTCAAATGAACGTTGGAAATGTAAATGTAAACAAGGGACCTTCCACCATTTATGGCAGACGTGGGACAAAGCAAGAAAATATCAGAGCAGGATTCATACGTTAATACAGAGAATTCTTCAAGTGAATATAGAAAGAAAACCAGAGACTTTTCTTGTGGGGTTAATGGACAAAGATCTGGAATAAAAATATGGAACCTTGATGTTACATAGGTTGACAGCAGTAAGACTACTTTATGTTCAGAAATGGAAGACTACATCGATTCCCACAATGGAGGAATGGTTGCAAAAACTCTACGGAGATAGCAGAGATGGCTAAATTGACTGTACAGATTCAAGAAAACAAATACTTTTATTGCTACATGGAAACTACTTGTGGACTTTGTGCTTGAGATAGAAAAAAAATGAAACTTTGATTTTGGGTTTTACCAATTAGACAGATTTGATACAAAAGTACGTATTGTCAAGGCCATGGTTTTCCCAGTTGCAATGTATGGCTGTGAAAGCTGGACCATAAGAAAGGCTGAGCACCAAAGAATTGAGGCCTTTGAACTATGGTGCTGGAGAAGACTCCTGCGAGTCCCCTGGACTGCAAGGCGATCAAACCGGTCAGTCCTAGAGGAGATCAACCCCGACTGCTCTTTAGAAGGCCAGATCCTGAAGTTGAAACTCAAGTTCTTGGCCACCTAATGAGAAGGAAGGACTCACTGGAGAAGAGCCTAATGCTGGGAAAGATGGAGGGCAAGAGAAAAGGGGACGACAGAGAATGAGGTGGCTGGATGGAATCACTGAAGCAGTAGGCGTGAGCTTAAATGGACTCCAGAAGATGGTAGAGGACAGGAAGGCCTGGAGGAACGTTGTCCATGGGGTCGCGATGGGTCGGACACAACTTCGCAACTAACAACAACAAAGTTTATGTTATTTTGTAAAAGTAAAAAGTTGAGGTCTGATGTTGAAATTCTATTTTACTGCACCAAAGGAAGTCGGAAGTCAATGCCTTTTTTTTTCTTTTTTTCTCCCTTCCCTGGCTTCTCTATTCCCTTTTCCCTTCCCTATCTTTACTGCTGTTTATTTCTGTATTTTCATTGTATTATGTACTATAAACTAATAAAACTTAGTTTTTTAAAAAAGGACTGCCTTTATCTTGCTTCCACAAAATCTAGAAGAGATCATCAGCCACAATCTTTGCTTTTCTACAACGTATTCAGCCTGGGAACAACAACAATTTTACTATCTCTTTTGCATGCCAGACAAACTGGTTTGGGTTCAAAGGCTAAGCAGGGCTGGGTTTAATTAATATGTATGAATGGGTGTAATATTTATTATAGCCAAAAGACCCAAAGAGGACATAATGAATTTGCAGATATGAGAAAATCCCAGGGCTGGAGGCTAGACTTAGAAGTGAAAAAAGAATATTCTAAAAAAAAAAAAGAGGAATGGCAGAGCACATCTATAGAGATATGATTTGCCAGTCCTTTCTTCTAGGACAGGAGTCTCCAAACATGGCATCTTTAAGACTTATGGACTTCAACTCCCAGAATTCCCCAGGCAGCATGGCTGGCTGGAGAATTGTGGGAGTTGGAAGTCCACAAGTCATAAAATTGCCAAGTTTGCAGACCCCTGTTCTAGGGCGTTCTTGCCAGGAAGCTAAATGAATATGCCCACATGATCCCCAGGGATTGAAAAAAATCCTAAAATCACACGACTGGAAGGGAATTTAGAGGTCATCTAGTCAATCCCCTATGCAGGATGTTCATCTGAACATTGAGAATCCAGCCTTGATTTGAAGACCTTTAACTTGACTTGAGGGGTGCTTCCTCTTTTATTCTCAAGCAAAAAGGTAATAAATGTTCTCCTTTAATAATCAAAGCCTCGCTTTCTCACCCGTATAATATTCTGGCATGAGGCGAGGGGCAGCCCCACAAGGCTCGTCCCATTGACGGACATGATGCGGTCCCCGATGCTCAGCTTGCCGGATCGCTCGGCTGCTCCCCTGTGCATCAGGTTTGCAATGACCACAGTGGGAAGGATGGATCCCCAACCAGATTCCACAATCACCACGCCCAGGATCTCACCCTTCTCTTTGGAGATGGCAACCTGTATGGAGACACCAAACAGCAGAGGAGAGATCTATTGGGACTGAAAGAAAGAGAGATGAAGTGTTTCATCCTTTTGAGGTGCCCTCAAAATCCACAACTGTTATAATCCAAGGCAGTGTTTCTCAACCTTGGCTATTTGAAGAGGTGTGGACTTCAACTCGCAGAATTCCTCAGCCAGTTTGGCGACTGTTGGAATTTAAGACAAAGCCCTCAAAAACTGCTTATCCGGTTTTGAAGTTCCAAGTTCAGCTTCCCTCCCTCCGCAGCCACATGACCACATTTTAGATGCTCAGCAACCAGCCCACATTAACAGTTTTGCTGGAAACCAGCATTTATGTCCAGTTTCCATCAAAAAAGTCTGTTAAGCGAACAATAAGTTTGCTTAACAATTGTGGCATTCGCTTAACGACCACCGCAAAAATTGCCATAAAAACATGTCCAGTCACATGGTGACCCACTTTACAACTGTCACAATTTACAACCATCATTCCAGGCGTAATTATGGTTGTAAGTCAAGGATTACCTGTGTAGCTGATGGAAGTTGGGAACAGACGTACATGCTTCCAAATCTTATTATTATATATCTGACCAGAACAGGGGACAAGGAAGGCGATTCTTTTAATCTCCTGTGGCTGTGGCGACTTTTTAAAAAAGAAAAGTAGCCAATAGATGGATAAAAAAAATGCCAAATCCAGTCTGGACATCTGGCTGACTGTGCAACGAACCTCAATATAAATAACTACAATATAACAATTCTATAGGAACAGAGAGTTGAAAAATAGTCCAGAATGAAGACATTAAAACGTTGTGAGATTTCCAAATACAAACTGATAGAGTCTTGGCACATAACTGACAATATTTAACTGAGGCAGAAAAGACAAAAGTGTGGAAAATTGATGTGGCAATACCAGGGGATAATAGAATAGAAGACAAAGAATTGGAGATCACAAAGTATCAAGGCTGGAAAATCAAAGTTGAAAGATTATGGCATAAACCAGATATTGTGGTCCGAGTGGTTATTGGCAGACTGGGTGCCATACCCAAAAATCCCAATGGTTCTTTTCCAAAAGACAACTGGACTTTCTTGGTTTTTGGGAGAAGACTTTTGGCACAACCAAAAGGATGATTGAGAATCTCCAGACATACCAAAAAATCTTGGATGGCACTTAGAAAATCTGCACATTGACAATGAACATTGACAATATTTCCATTGTGAATGGCAAAACGCCAAGATTGCTTGGATCCACACACACACTGTGCCAATACTAACTAGGTTGTTGGGAAGAACTCAACGCAAATAAAAGTCAACACCAGCTAAAGAACTGGCAGCTGTGACTTCACCTTGCTGCATATATAATTATACTAAATTTACACACTACCTAACCTCCAAGACGTTAAAGTATATGTGTGAAACCAGATCTGCTAAACATACCAAAGGCTTAATACAGCTATTTTAGCACGTACTTTTTTTTAAAAAAAAAGCAGGAAAATATGTGCAACTGGAAATCAGCAATTTGTCATACATTTCAGAAGCTCTGGGGACAGAGAAGAACAAGGAATTGCAATCAACCACAACAGAGCAGGTGGGTTCCACACTTTCCTTTGTTGCTCACACTCTGGCTTGACAAACCTCAGAGTGTTTCGTTACAGGTTGGGACACAATTATTTTGCCCCAATGAGTCTTTTTTTTTTCCCCCACTGAAAGAAAATGTGTCTATTGCTGCTTAATCCTCTTGTCTTTGTTTCACACACTTTGGGAAAGTATTATTTTATTTGAAAAAATAACTTGCTGAGAAGAAAAACAAAAAAACCTGGGTAAAGCTTTGCTGTGTAAAGTTAAAAAAAAATAAATCCAGAGGAATTGTTATGAGGAGAATGTTTTTTTCAGGACAAGACTGTTAAATCTGTTCCAGGGAGCCTAGCAGTTTTCTGGATATTTCTCTTCCAGAACCACTTCCTGTATCAAGAACATTTATAGCCAGAAAACTGTCAAACCACTCCCTCTGGGGTAAAAATTCACGGTCTGGTGAAAAGATGTAACATTCTGGAGAATACTGCCGTGTTCTCACCCTGGACAAAATGGAGGCAGCCAACTGAACAACCTAAGTGATCCTCCATTGGCTATCAGGATCATTTTTTTTATCAATTAATATTAGTGGAACATCTTACCATAAAATGTGACACAATACAGGAAGTCCTCAACTTACAAAATAATGGGGCCTGCCCATTATGGTCGTAAGCCATGATGCGTTGTAAAGCAGGTCACCCACATGACTGGCCCGATTTTATGATCTGTTTTATGAGGGTCGCTAAACGAACTAATTGTTTGCTATGGGCCCCTTTTGCTGAAAACCAGAAGTAAATGCCAGTTTTCGGCAAAAACATCATAAAATGTGGTCAGGTGATCCATGCTGCAAATAGCTGTAAATGTGGGTTGGTTATCAAGCACCCAAAGTGCTGTCACATGTCTACAGGGTGTGAATGTGTGCCCACTGATGATCCGTTGTAGATCAATGACTATTTACAGATTTCCCCCAAGGTTTATCAAATCCAATGCATTTTATAAACCAGGGGTCTTCAAACTTGGCCCTTTTATGACTTGTGGACTTCACCTCCCAGAATTCCTGAGCCAGCCATGCTGGCTGAGGAATTCTGGGAGTTGAAGTCCACAGGGACTCATAAAAGGGCCAAGTTTGAAGACCCTTATTATAAACTGTCTTGGGCAAGGGTGGGCAACTATGATCCCTTCATGACCTGTGGACCTCTACTCCCAGAATTCTGGGAGTTGAAGTCCACAAGTTGTAAAGGGGCCATATTGCCTATCCCTGCTCTTGGGGCACAGAACCGAGAATTTTCCCATTCTCCATTCACTATAATCCTGGGAGGAAGGCCTGCCTTTCAAAACAACCATTTTATAGTCTTGATCCTGTCTTGTGCATCTGCCTGACGTGCAACCAAACAGCAAACCGGTGAAAATAATGTGTTTCCTGCCAACGAAAGCCAATGAAAGCCCAGGGGTGTGGCAGACAACAGCTTCCATCATTTCCAGCCAACTGCAGGCTGGGTGGTCATGGTGTTGTAGTCCAACATCAGAGGGCTAATCAGAACAAGACAGGATTGGTGGAGATTGAGTGGCCTGCCCAACCATTGGTCAATTGAGTATATTTGAGATGGGCAACCATTTCCTCTGTGGTAGGTATGTGGTTCCAATGCTCCCCCTCCCTCACCCTTCCCTCTGACAAAACATCTCCTCTCTGTTCTTACTTCCTTACAGTTTTCTTGCTTGGAGAAATGAGCCAGATCTCCATTATATAGCTGCTCTCCCTCGATCTGGTCAGGATCCTGGTCATCATCGTTCTGGTCTTCCATGGAGCCAAGCTGGCTGGGGTCAATGCCGCTGGCCCGCAGGAAGTGCTGGTAAGCCACACTAAAGACCTGCCCGATGGCTTGCGCTATCAGCTGAGCCTGTAGGACAGGGAGCAGAAAATGACAAGCTATGTCAAGTTTAATGAAAAGGAAGACTAGGGGTGACATGACAGCAATGTTCCAATATCTCAGGGGTTGCCATAAAGAAAAGGGAGTCAAGCTATTCTCCAAAGGCAAGACATACTGCATCCAGTTTTGATCACCACGATGTAAAAAAGATGTTGAGACTCTAGAAAGAGTGCAGAGAAGAGCAACAAAGATGATCAGGGGACTGGAGGCTAAAACATATAAGGAAAGCTGCTGGAATTGGGTATGTCTAGTTTAATGAAGAGAAGAACGAGGGGTGACAGGACAGCAGTGTTCCAATATCTCAGGGGCTGCCACAAAGAAGAGGGAGTCAAGCTATTCTCCAAAGCGCCTGAAGGTAGGAGAAGAAGTAATGGATGGAAACTCATCAAGGAGAGAAGCAACCTAGAACTAAGGAGGAATTTTCTGACAGTTAGAACAATTAATTCAGTGATGGAGAACCTTTTCGAGACCGAGTGCCCAAAAACTGGCCCTGCCCCGCTCCACCCCCTGCCCCGCCCACACCTTGCCTGCCTGCAGGACCACTCACCGCCTCCAGGGCCCTCCGCAGATCGCCCAGGCAGCCCAGCAGCGCCATGGCGGCCACGCCCTCTGCCCACGCCCCGCAGCATCAGCTGTGCGCGATGGGGCGTGAGAGCAGAGTCTTGTCTACGCTGCCTGGCTGTCATGTCCTTGGCTGTGCTGCTCCGTGTGGGCCACGCTCAAGGGCAACTCTCCTCCAGGGGGGCTGCTGGTGAGAAGGGAGTCGCGGGGGGAGGCAAGACTGAGGTAACAGCATGTGTGCCCACAGAGTGGGCTCCGAGTGCTGCCTCTGGTACGCATGCCATTAATCAGTGGAACAACCTGCCTCCAGAAGCGGTGAATGCTCCAACACTGGAAGTTTTTAAGAAGAGACTGGACAGCCATTTATCTGAAATGGTATAGGTTTTACTGCCTGAGCAGTGGGTTGGACTAGAAGACCTCCAAGGTCCCTTCCAACTCTATATTTTTATTATTATTATTATTATTAGTTGTTGTTGTTGTTGTTGTTGTTACCTCCAAGGTCCCTTCCAATACTTCTATTCTATTCTATTCTATTCTATTCTATACTATACTATTCTATTCTATTCTATTCTATTCCTACAGTTGCAGGATAAGCTTCTTTTCAAGCATGCAGTTACTCCAATAAGACAAGATCTAATCTAATTGAGGCAGTGGTGTACATCTGAACTCTAGCTGTCTGACTGTCAGCGCTGATTTGTCACCAACATTTCCCCACACACTCACGTCAGATGAGTGGAAGACGTGGCAGATCATTTTGTACAGCTGTTTTTCGGTGGAAGCATCTGCCCGGCGAGGGAGCTTCCGACGGGCCATGAGTACCACGATGTTCCCAATGTCAGCAATGTAGGAGATGGTCTGGAGGGGGTGATCCATCATGGTTTCCTAAAGTGGGAAGAAGGCCAGAGAATTAGAAAGAAATATACCAAAAGTGTTGATGTGACAGGTTGCCATTTCACAGAATATTCTTCAATTGTCTGGGACTGTCTGTGTCCTCTGGATGTGCTGAACTATAGCTCAGATCATCCTCTGCCAGCCTGGCCTCTGTCTCATACAGGAGTCCCCAGTATGTTGTTCTACAGCAGGGGTCTTCAAACATGGCCCTTTTATGACTTGTGGACTTCAACTCCCAGAATTTCTCAGCCACAAGTCATAAAAGGGCCAAGTTTGAAGACCCTTTTTCTACAGCTTGGTTCAGAGAACGTATTGGCATAAAAATCTCAAGTCATGTGTCATTTTCCAAAATGCATACAAAAATCGTAACTATGTAAAATAATATATGGAGTTAAAATCTCTCTCTCTCTCTCTCTCTCTGTGTGTATTTTTTTCCTCAAATATATATCACAGATCACACAAAAGTCGACTTGTGGTGCCAATACATCTAAAGACACTGCTTGTGCTTAATTCGATTTTAGAACAAGTATTGCTCGACTTACAACCAACTGCTAAAATGACCAATCGAAATTACCATGGATTTGAAAAAAGTTACTTACAACCCATCCTCAAAGTTACAACTACAGCACTGCAGTTTGCATTTTGGGCGTTTGGCAACCAGCTCACATTTATGACTGACTGCAGTGTCCTAAGTCACGTGATCATGTTTTGGACTTTTTTGCCATTTTTCCAACAAAAAATGCCTATTCGATAAGTTGGATTTGGATTTACTACTCCACCATGCGTCACTTAACAGCTATGTCAGAGGTGGCGAACCTATGGCACGAGTGCCAGAGGCGGCACTCAGAGCCCTCTCTGTGGGCACGCGCACCGTCGCCCCAGTCCTAGGCCTTCAGCTGGGTTTTATAAAACCTTTTCGCTTTAGGCCTCTGCCGCCGTGTGCAAAAAAAAAAAAGGTTCACACAATCAGTCAATTTCAACTTCTCGCGGGAAAAAAAAAGATCTTGCAAAGTTGGAATTGATTGATTGGACTTTTTAGTCCCACCCAGTCTGCCGTTACCACCGCAGGCATGCCCACCCAATGGGCCACACCTACCCAATTGGTCACACCCAGCCAATGGGCCACACCCACCCGGCACCCGACGATGCATAAGTGGGTTTTGGGTTGCAGTTTGGGCACTCACTCGGTCTCTAAAAGGTTCGCCATCACTGAGCTATGTGATTCAGTAACAGCCATGGTGATTTGCTTAATGAATATAATAAAAACAGTTGTAAAATGAAGCCTGGCCAACCTCAACCACTTATAATCAAAATTCTGGCCTCAGTTGTGATCATTAAGTTGAAAACTACCTGTACTGTAATGACTGCAATTAAAATATATATATTATGTCCAAAAGAAAAGTGCAATTCCTTCCTGTCAACCTATCCCGTCATTTTGTGCGAGCAGCCATTTCCCTCAGCAGCCATTTTGAGAACACACCACAACGCAGCCTCAACATTTCAACCAGGCCTGCCCATCTAAAAAAAGTGATGTAGCTAAATGGAACACCAGGGACTATCCTGGTTGTAGGGAGGAAGCAAAGGAACAGTTACATCTGTGGGTCTTCTGGCTAGGAGACATTTTGTGAGTGTCCATCCTTCCACAACCCCAAAGCAGCCATTTTGGCCCTCAATGATCTCAAATGGAGATAGCAGACTTGAGTGGGCAGCTGTCCATGCACCTGTGTGTCAGCACTGAGGACCTTGATCCGTTGAGTGGAGACAAAGAGATCTACTTCGGTCATTGGCTGGGATTCTCCTTCAGGAGCCTGCATTGCAAGGAAAACATGTGAAGGAAAGAGGTCAGGATAGGAGAGAAAATAGGTCATTGTGGCATGGAGCCCAACATGGCTGACCAAAGGCACAAAGGCCATATTAGGAGTGGTGTAGCTCAACCACTGTACTCGCCACTGTAATGCTCCAGTGACGGCACTGAAAAGGTAAGCTGCTCTTGATCATGGAGGCTCCATTTTGCTGCAACTGGAACAGAGCCCCCTTTTCTTCAATGTAACTGAGTGCAAGTACTCAACTTACAACAGTTAGCTTAGTGACCGTTTTCACACTTACAACCATTGCAGCATGCCCATGGTTACATGATCAAAATTCAGATGGGTGGCAACTGACTCATATTTATGATGGTTGCAGTGTCCCAGGGCTCATGTGATCACCTTTTGGAACCTTCTGACAAGCAAAGTCAGTGGGGAAGCCAGATTCACTGAACATGTTACTAACAAGTGCATGATTCCATAACAACTGTGGCAAGAAAGGTCGAAGAATGGGGCAAAACTCACTGAACAACTGTCTCGCTTGGCCACAGAACTTTTGGACTCAAATGTGGTTGTAAGTCGAGAACTACTTGTAGATCTAGCTAGGTGTCACACACCTGCTGCTCCCTTTCCCACCTTAATCCTGTCCACAGCTTCCTGTGCCTGTGCCATGCGGACACTTGTGGATGGGTTCTTCTCGGAAACAAGCTGTGTGGAACCCAGATATTTGGCTCCAAAGATCACCCCATCCAACAGATCTTCGGGCTCGCAGGGGCCTGGGACTGAGATATACAGAAAAGGCTGGTTTAAGAAAATTATTATTATTGTCATTACCATTGCCATCACCATTATCACCACAAAGTATCATAGGTAGTACTCCTTTAACAACATACCTGTGAGGTAGATTACACTATGAGAGAATTGGCCCAAAGTTCCATAGGGAACCTCCTATGGAAGGGACTAGAACAGGGGTCTTCAAACTTGGCCCTTTTATGAATTGTGGACTTCAACTCCCAGAATTCCTCAGCCAGGCACGCTGGCTGAGGAATTCTGGGAGTTGAAGTCCACAAGTCATAAAAGGGCCAAGTTTGAAGATCCCTGGACTAGAACCTGGGTCTTCTTCTTGTTGTTAGTTTAGCACCTTTCCTTTTACACCTGATTGGACTGAGAGGGAGGGACTTGCCCAAATTAAGCCAATGAGCTTCTGTGGCCGAGGAGTGACTAGAACCTGGATCTCCCCACTCTTAGTCTGCCTCGTTCCCCACTGCACCTGATTTGTTCTTAGGCTGAGAGGGAGGGAGTAGCCCAAATTCAGCCAATGAGCTTCTGTGCTTAAGAGCGGATTAGAGCCTAGGTCTCTCTGCTGCTAGTCCAGCACTTTCCCTTCCACAGCCCATTGGCTCTTGGGCTGAGAGGGGAGGGACTAGCCCAAAGTCAACCAATGACTTCTGTAGCTGAAGAGGAACTAGAACATGGGTCTCCCACTCTTAGTCCGACTCTTTTCCCACTACACCTGTTGGTTCTTGGGCTGAGAGGGAGGGACAGGACCAAATTCAGCCAATGAGCTTCTATATCTAAGAGAACCTGGGTCTCTCTGCTGTTAGTCCAGCACTTTCCCTTCCACACCTCATTGGCTCTTGGACTGAGAGGGAAGGACTAGCACAAAGTCAACCAATGAGTTTCTGTGGCTGAGGAGGAACTAGAATTTGGGTCTCCATATTGCTAGTCCAGCACCTTCACTTCTACATCTGATTGGCTCTAGGGCTGAGAAGGTGGGACTAGCCCAAAGTGAACCAATGAGGTTGAAGAAGAGCTAGAACCTGGGTCTCCCACTCTTAGTCTGCCTGCTTCCCCAGTACACCTGATTGGCTCTTTGGACTGAGAGGGAGGGAGGGACTGGCTCAAAGTTCACACGATATAATAAATTAATCAAAATTCTTCACTTACCATCTTTATAAAGTGGGAAAGATGACAGATTGGCTTTATTCTGTTAAAGAGGAAAGGGGAAAAAGAACTGGCTTTGTAAAGCTGAGGAGGAGATCTTAATTATTTATTTATGAAATTTATCTGGCCATCTGAAACCAACTAGACCAGGGGTAGGCAACCTTGGCTCTTTTATGACTCGTGGACTTCAACTCCCAGAATTCCTGAGTCAGCACGGCTGGCTCAGGAATTCTGGGAGTTGAAGTCCACGAGTCATAAAAGAGCCAAGGTTGCCTACCCCTGAACTAGACTCTAGGCCAGTGGTTCTCAACCTTTTTAATGCCGCGACCCCAACCGGTCGTAAGTCGAAGACTAAACCGGTCGTAAGTCAAGGACTAAACCAGTCGTAAGTCAAGGACTAAACCGGTCGTAAGTCAAGGACTACCCAACCGGTCGTAAGTCGAGGACTTTCCCTGCCCGGGAGCGCCGCGCATGTGTGGTTCCGCCCCCTGTGCCGGCCGAGGCGTAGCTGGCAAGCGGCAGAGACGGAGCAGGCCGACCACCAGCTGGCCCAGCCCAAGGGAGGTAAGGCACCCGCCGGAAAAGGGGAAAAAAATGGCGGACAAAAAAAATGGCGGACAGCCTTGCTTGGCGACCCCCATGAAATGGTCGATCGACCCCAAATGGGGTCCCGA